CGAATGGCAAGAGAAACAGAAAAAAACTTTGAAGGAAAAAATAAACAGGCTTGAGCCTGTTTGAGCAGCTCCGTGCATCTCCAGGTGGCAAAGATGGCCAAAAGAGCTTAACTGTCAGCTCAGCGCTGCTCCTCTACACGAGGCAGCTGTGTTCAAGAAAAAAAAAATTAAACTGCGGCAAGCCCTGGTGGATCAGGAACTTGCAAGCAGAATGCTGGCTGTGCCGCAATCTGTCAGGAAATCTTACGTGACTCACAGCTGCCATGGTGATTTGGGGAGCTGTCAACTCGGTCTGGACGACCAGATCCAGAACAGACTCCCCAGTAGCAAGCCTGGATACCGTCCAGAAGCTTGCCTGCAGGACCTGAGTCAGCCGCTGTATTAATGGCAGGTTTAAATGGCTCGCGGTTGCCGCAGCTCTGACTCACTTCAGAGTATGACCGAAGGATCGGTCAATGACTCCTGTCCCAGTCCTGTCTACACGGGATATCCTGGGGCTCTGCTAGGTCCGCATCCAAAGTTTTAAACCAAAAGGAAAATAAAAATAAAAAATACAAGGAAAAAGGCGCGAAAAACAAAATGCAGCTGTGCCAACAAAGTCGGACAGCTGTCAAACCTTTCCAACAGACTCCGGTGTCGATGGGAGATTCATGGAGTAATAATAAAAGTCTCTTTCCTAAAACTCAAGATCTTCAGAGCCCTTAAGGGACCTGAACGAGCTTAGACTGAATTGAAATCTGAGGACCATTAACAGGGAGGTGTGTCCTCAGAATTCAACTCAGTCTGAAGAGCAACAAGACTAGAGACTAACCCCCAACCTGGATTCTCCCATTGACTCAGTGGGGAATTGGGCCGATCTGCTGCCTTTTGAAGAAGTAGTCTACATCAACGCCTTCCATAGTAGCACAGGCTTAACCCCAAGTCACCAGCGGAATGGACTTTGTGCCTATACCCGAGCTGCCTAGAAAGCCACCCACCTCAATGTCCTTGGCCAAGTGGATGGACTCACTAAGAAAAGGGTGGGACAATACCAAGCAGGCTCTTGCCCAAGCCACCGAGAAGTACAAGCATCAGGCAGATAAACACCAATCCTCACAACCCTCTTTCAAAGTGGGCAACCGGGTCTACCTGTCCACTAAGGCTTCCCACAAAGAAACTAGGTCCAAAGTTCATAGGACCGTTCTCAATAGTGAAAGTAATAAATCCAGTAACTGTGCAACTAAGTCTCCCTCACTTATTGGGGAAAGTGCATCCAGTGCATTCCATAGCAGGTTATAGAAACCGATTATTACCTCCCAATTAAGACCGAGAGATCAGCCAGCTCCCAAACCAATAGTGGTCCAGGGTGAAGAGCATTATGAAATGAGGAAAATCCTAGATTCTAGGTTACACAGCGGTCAATCTGATTCACTGGAAGGGGTAACTGTTGTCTGAGGCCACTTGGGTAAAAAGTTGGGATGTAAAAGCAGATAGATTGGTAAAGCAGTTTCACGAAAAATTTTCCAATAAGCCAAAGGGGCCCCCTGGGGGTGAAGAGGTGGTTAGTTGATGTTGATTCTAACCTGTCACTTGTCTCATTTTAGGATGTTATCATCGCTTGAGGGGAGGCAGTCTGTCAGCCCCGAATCCATCTTGTTTCAGATTTAGGGCTGCCACACCGGGGGATGGGCAAGTAGTGGGAATGGGAGAGTAATGAAAAGGGAGGATAGCCACAACAACATCTTTCACCAGAGCTCAAGGTCGAGTCGCTGGAGTTTGGAGGGGAGTGATTGGACTTGGTGGGAGTTCAGAACTGAGGTGCATTGGAGAGCATGAGTTGACTCCTAGGAAAAATAAACACCAGTATGCACACATAACCTATCTTTATTCTATCCTCAAGTGATACGGCAGTAATTATCCTGAACCAATGTCTGGAAGTAAAACAGATTTCAAAGCATGAAAATAATTTTGAACAAACTGGAGGTGTGCCTTCTGAAGGATAAGACTGATCCAAATTTGGTGATTTATCCATCTTGAATGGAGCAGCATTCCCTTGAAGGAGTGGGTGGAATTGGGAGCATTTGATACTCAGGTAATTAGAATGGGATGTAAAGTATTCTTTGAGTTTCGATTCTCAAACCAATACAATCATTTCGGAAGCATGCTAACTTGGTCAAAGCAGTGATTGTCACCTTTCATTTAGATTAACACACAGCAAGGATGGTTATTTCAGAAGATCCCCCCCAAATTAGAGATTATGTAAAATACAGCAGCCAGAATTTTGAGTAGTTGTTAGGAAAACAGAGCATATAATAGCTTTCCCATTTCAAATGTATTGGTCAGCAGTGTAACCTTAGGAATAATTAAAAATACCCATGTTTCCCCAAAAATAAGACCTAGTCTTATTTTCTTTTGGGCTCTGAAATAAACAGTAGAGCTTATTTTGGGGGAATGTCTTATTTTTTTCCATGTAGATAGGCCTTTTTGCTTGTGGGGCATGTGGTGTGCCAGTGCCACTGCTCCGAGGCAGGGTGGTGGAGCTGCCCCATGCACCCCACACCGGCTTACCTCAGGCCACCCACAACCCAATACTTGCCTCGCCTTGTGGCGGCTCCAGCAGCTCCATCCAACAGGATACCACATGGCCTTCTTCTGCTTGCTTATGGCCGCAATGGAGCAGGCCAAGTAACAGGCCAGTGGTGTGGCTACGAGGCAACTGTCGGGGCATGGATGGACTTGCTGCGGGAGCCCTGAAGTAAGCTGGTGCAGTGTGCATGGGGCACTTCCAATTCCCTGCCTCATGGCGGTGGCACTGGTACACCACGCAGCCTCCTACCCCACCATTCCACACACACCCCTTGCCTCACCTCGTGTCAGTGGCACTGCGAGCAATCAGATGGAATGGGCGGGCAACCAGCTGCGCAATCACTTAAGTGGGGCTTACTTTAGGAGTAGGGCTTATATTAGGTGGTGTGAAAAAGCAGGCTAGGGCTTATTTTTTGGATAGGTCCTATTTTTGGGGAAATGGGGGTACTTATTGTGATTTTAAAGCCCCAAGCAGGTTGGGACCAAAATAATGAAATACCAGTAATTTTTCATGACTAGGTCTGTGCTACATAATAATTAAAAAGTGCTAAATATATCTCCTCTCTTCAAGCAGGGTAGTATCCATATAGCAGCATCTGATTAGTATCTACATTATCTACTTATTTAAAAAGGCAAACCACAAATGGATATATTTCATAAGTCATAATTATAAATGTATGAATATGAAGTAAAGATTATTTATTAAAGGAAAACAAAGTAAGTTCTCAAAAAGAAAAATGCTTCACAAATAATGTGGATAATTTGATATGTGATTTTTAATTAATGTAATTTTTTTTTAAAGTCACAAGTTTGACTGAACTTTGCTCAACCTATTCAAGATCAACTGTACACTTAAAATCTCTTTAAGTTTAATGTTGAATAAAAAGTGAAGTGGTCAATTAACTTTGTTCTAAGTGATATGTGAATTGTACAAATTTTTGTACATAAATTGTACATAAATGTTATGACAATAAAAGTTATATTGATCTACCAAGTCTTATATCTAATTTATGAGTAATTACAGGAAAATGCTATTACTGCAAGATACTAATTTGAAGAGCAAAAGGGATTTAAATGAGATATTCTTTACAGTATATTACAGACATATATTCTGGAGCACCTTGCTTAATTACCAAATGAGTTTATATAGAGCTTTAGGACTTAGATAAATTTAGGGCTTAGATAAAAACTCTGTTAATTGCACTATTAATTCTTATTATTAGCTGTTTATATTTTATTGAAAATTATACTTTTATATTAAAAGTAGAGGGAAGGGGGTTTAAATATCTTTATTCATTGCTGTTCATTAAATTATCAATTTTTGGTGTATATTTTACTGAAAACACTTATCAGCTGTAATGCTTAACATTCTAGCTATAATATTTATCGCTAAAGCTTCCAAATGCTAGAATTATAAAAATAAAAATACTAATATGTGTAACAATGAGACACTCTGCCTATAAAATATAAGCATTCCATCTAATCAGAACTTCTCTTGCACTGGAAATAATCCTGGCATTAATGCTAGTTTCGGGATGGAAAAAGAAAAAAAGAAAAAAGAAAAGAAATTCCTGATGCAACAGTTGCTTGTCAAGTTCTATGAATTCTCACATTTTACTTCTGTCACATTTGTCTTTTGCCAAGTGGATGCATATTTCCCCCTTCTTCCTTATGGACTCTCATCCTGTTTCTCAACTTTATTCCCTATGCTATGATTCCCAAGAAGCCGATTACAACATATCGGCCAGACTATCTTACTTTATGGTGTTACATTATTAGGATATACATATCCTCTTAAAGCCAAACAAGCTACAGAGGTTGTTAAAACTCTTCAGAACATTTCTTGCCCTCCTGTACTGCTGAATAAAACATTTTATAATGAATGAAAATATTCTTACTAAATAAAATATTTTTAAGGTAGGCATCTCTTTTATCCATCTGTCAGCCTTATTCACAAAATTTTACATCAAAACTTCATGTCTCTTATTTACTTTCACGTGCAAAGAAATTAAGGGGACTCCAATAACCCATCAAAAATTCATTCAAATGAAACATTCATGGTTGTATTTGTGCTTACTATACTATTGTGGCAATAGCAAGAAAGCAGGAAAGCAATTTTGTTGTCTGATACATTCTGAAAAATAGTCATGGGAAAGATATAATATCAACCTTGTTATTTTAAAAATGAAAGCAAAATACTAGCACAAGGACTCAAATCCAAGATACTAAATATCTTATATCTATACTGAATACATGTATGCTATATATTATGCCAGAGAATCTGAAAACTAGATTAAGAGAAGATAAGTTTATATTCAGTCCAACAAAATTGGACTCCATAACACTGAATTATATATGCTTTTAAAACAGTATAGTATAGGAAACATTAGAAACCTATATAAAAGATAGGCACATTATTATTTCAGATTTCTTACCTGTAGTGCACTATTCAGGAAGCAGCTATTTTGTCCTGGCTCATTGCTGAGACCTTTACTTGGTGCTATAGATGTTGTATTTCGTGGAGTAAACATGCCTTGCACACCACCCTGTCCCACAGAAAAATAATTTCTCTTCCAAGACATCTTTCACATTTGGATTTGCAGTATAAAGCTGGTTCTATAGGTGTGTCTGTGGTTTAAAGATTCAAAATCAAAACTAAGTTACACAATGCTAAAATATAAAACTTCCTCTACATTCCTCAATGGTATCTCATGAAGTGACATGAACACTGTATTTCTTTTAAAGCCAGAAATAATACTGCAATATTGTTACAGTAATAAGCTCTGACTGGAAAACATCTCTCTGTACCTGAAAAAAAAATTGGAGGCAAACTAAAAAAATATATAGTTTTTCCAAGAATGATCATAATGAAGTCCTATATCTCGTCTAAAAAGTTTATTCAGAGTGTAAAACATATTCAAAAATACTAAAAACCAGAAAAATAACTTTCTGTTCTTTTGTAATCTCTGAAGGCTAATAAGCAGGCAAAATGAAATCAGAAAAAAAAACTAGCAACCAAAATCCTTGTTATCCCTCTGTCGTTTTCTTCCTGGAATATTGGTACAGGCAACTTCACTTTTTATAAGCAAAACAAGCAGAGATTCAATACTGTCTTTTAATCCAGGCAGAAACCATCTTCTAAAATTCCTGTAATTTCCTCAGCAAGACTTGAGTGGTTTCTTCTGTTCTTACTTCTGTTGTGAGCATAATGTCTAGCTGTGGAGAGAGAGAGAGAGAGAATAATCAAAGGCTTGCGTCATTTAATTAACATCTTAGTTTTCTTCTGCCAAGATCAGCGTTCACTCACCTCGCATCTCACCACAAACTGAGGAACAAAGTCAAAGGAACAGAAAACAAAATCCCACCAAATGAAATACAATAAAGAAAAAAAAGAAATACAACAACTACACTTTTCCATAAATATAACTAGAACAGGTTAAATGGGATGAATTTGGATAATAGGAAATAATAAGTAAAAAGTGTATCTTACTGATTTGGTTACATTTGTTGCTATGATAACAAAAATATATTTTTAAAAATCAATGTTGATTGATTCAAACGGATTATATTACATCATTGTCAATTAGTAGCAATGATTGTTGATTGAGATTCTTTATTTGGTCCTGAAGTATAGTAAGAAGTACAACAGCAGAATGCATAATCATTTGTTTGGAGGTCTATAACTTATTCTCTAAATTACAGGTAGTTTGCAAAATAAATTTGGAAACCAAACAAAACAAGAAACATCCTTCTTAAATATTTCTTGTATAAGGAAATTTTAAGATACTTTTACTTGTAGAAAAATGGGGAAAATTTGTAAATAAATAAATGTTAAGTATGTTGACTTGTTTGGTTAACCCAACAGAGGGTTTATATTATATATTTATTTTGTGAATATTCTTATTTTTAGATTACAGTTATTTTACATACAGAGAATTGATACTCATTTAGGGGTAGGATTCAAATTTCTTAACAACCAGTTCTGTGGATGTGGCCTAATTTGTGGGTGTGGCTTGGTGGTCATGTAACTGGGTGGGCATGGCTTGTATGTAAATATTATAAATATTTATGTAAATATTGATTTTTTTATAAAAAAGGAGCAACTTTTACCCCAAAGCAGGCAAAGCAGGCAGGCAGATTGAGTTGCTCACAGAATCACAGATTCACTTAGAGATCTATCTATCTGCAATCGGCTATCTGCGTCTGCACTGAAAAGCTTCAGTCCTAAGGAAGGTTCAGCTCGGCTTTTAGATTAGCTAGAAAGCAATTTATAGCTAATCTAAATCTCCTGGCAGAACAGAACAGCTAATGGTTGGGGGCGGGGGAAGGAAAAATAGCAACTTACCAAACCAGGCAAGTTGGATGGCTCGCATGCCAGGTAAGAAGTGAGTGGGCGGGGAGGGGAGGGGAGGGGCCAGCCAGTGGAACGATTTGCCCGTTCTCCAAACTGGGGACAATCATGTGTGCAGTGTTTGCAAGAAATCATCAGCTGTGCCACCTGGACAGCTGACAAGTGCAGCGCTTGGGTGTGCAGCGTTTGAAAATCCTCTTGTTTCCTGCTTTTTCAACCTCAGCTGTGCCATGCAAAGCAGCTGAGGAGGGAAAAGCAGGGAATAAAGGACAGCCTAGAGCCTGGGCGGGCAGCTGAGCCAAACACCAAACCGGTTTGGTGTCAGCTGCTCTTCGCAGCTACAGGTTCTATAGAACCGGGCTGAACCTGTAGCATCCCACCCCTGTATTCATTCCATCAATTAACAGAATGCATGTAATTAAACCAGAGAGTCTATACATCATGCAAAGTCAATTTGCTTAGCTATGGTTTGTTGAATGTCATTTGCTTCACACATCATGCATGCTGGGTTTATGTATCAAACAAAATAAAAAATGGTTTGGTTTTGACTTACTATATAAGTATAATTTGTAAGTTATATTTGTATAAATTATGACATGGATTAACATGTACAAATTCAGCCAAATGTACTTTTTAAAAAAATTTCAACTGCCAGGTCTTAGTAAACATCAGGCCTAAAATTAAATTTATGGTTTGCAAACCAGAATTGCTTGATCTTAATAATTTTAACAAAACAAAACATATTATGGATTAACATAATAATTTTCACTGTGGTTACATACATACTTTTGACAAGATTGATTGCGGATACAATCCAAAATATTTGTTATTAAATTAAATTTACATAAATGACCTTTGTGATCATATTAAAAGCAATTGCGTTCTTTTAGCTGATGATGTAAAACTATTCAACACCATCGACAACACTGCTATCCTTCAAAAAGATCTTGATTATGTGTTAAAAAGGTCAAACAAGTGGCAACTTCAAATCAACAAATGCTCTTACATATTGGCAAAACAAAAATCAGAAAATAAAATACAAGCTGAATGGTCACAACCTTGTAGATGAACCCCACTATGTCAAGGACCTTGGAGTACTCATCTCTAATTATCTAAATGCTAGAGCCTACTGCAACTACATAGCCAAAAAGGCATTAAGAATTGTTAACCTAATCCTGCGTAGCCTTTTCTCCGGTAATAATGTACTACTAACTAGAGCTTACAAAACATTTGCTAGACCAATTCTAGAATACAGCTCATATGTTTGCAATGTCCTACCCGTCAAATGAATACTTCAGCTTCAACCATAACAACACAAGAGCACACAATAGATACAAACTCAAGGTTAACCGCACCAAACTTGATTGCAGGAAATATGACTTCAGCAACAGAGTGGTCAATGTCTGGAATATTCTACCTGACTCTGTGACTTCTTCCCCAAACCCCAAAAACTTTAACCTTAGACTGTCTACTATTGACCTCACCCCTTTCCTTAGATGTCTGTAGGGGATGTGCATAAGCGCACCAACGTGCCTACCGTTCCTATCCTAATGTATCCATTTCATGTATTCATAAACATGTTTATACTTATACATGTTATCTAATGCATGCTTGACAAATAAATAAATAATTATATTTAAGCATCAGTCTTCCAATCAGCTTCCCTATGTCCCAACCATATATGGGAGACAACTAATGGGGACAAGAGAAATGCCTTCTTAGTGGCTGTACCAATTTCCCTGCTGGAATCCAGTTTGGCCAACTGGCTGTGGGCTCCCTATTTACGAAGGCATTCTTCCTACAGACTGAATATACTTTATTAACCTCTTTATTGGCCCATTCTTATTGGCTAATCTTTTATAACTGATTTCGGGAAGAAAGGTATTACCTTTGCTTTCTTTTAATCTTATACTGGGTTTAATTGTTACCTAGGCTAGAGTGTATATGCACCAGAAGGACAGGATGTATCATTTTTTTAAAAAATGAAATTGATCACTTAATTACAATGACATATTTTAGTATTATATATCATTAACATTAACAATGACTAAAGGACCACAATTTGTATTTTTTTAAAATGCAACCAGATTAAAATATGTGCAGAGAACAAATCCATTTTATCAACCTCAGAAGGATGGAAGGCTGAGTGGATCCTGAGCTGGTCAGGACTGAATTCCTGGCTGTGAGCAGAGTTAGTTTGCAACACTGCATTCAAACCACTGTGCCACCATGGTTCATGATGTTTTCACCTGATGGGCGATTGTCCCAGAAAGCAAATAGTGAGTGAGTTTTGGATTCTTCATAGAAGGCTAATGAAATTGCTGTGTCAATGCTGAGCCATTAATTAACTGAGGATTTCGATGGAAAACAAAATAAAACGAAAGTACAAATCACCAGAAACTTCAAACTAATTAATTAGATAGATAGATAGATAGATAGATAGATAGATAGATAGATAGATAGATAGATAGATATACACACATACAGAAATCGTATCATAAGAGTAACACCACCACCCCCATTACTCATTTTCAGATCTCAGGAACCACTGGGAAGCAGAATACCTTTAAATAGAACCACCACCACCCTATTATACAGGTTGGCTCCTAGGCAGCAATGAAAAACCTCCATGAAGAAGCTGTGAAAATGGAAAAACAGCACTTTCACTCTTACACTATGATCCTGTTCAACTAGATTCATAAAACACGCTGTCAGATCCCTAAAAGTGATACTGCCGTTCAGTTGGGAGAAAGGGGGGGGGTCCTTGAATTTGATTATTTTGATTATTATTATTATAATAATTTGATTATTACTATTGCCTGTGACAACTCCTATTTTATAACTTGTATCCTGGTGCTGGAGCACCCTGAGATTTTCTCACCTCTTAGAGAATGTGGTAGGCCGGAGGGCCACGTGGGTTGTTTCATTTTTAAAGAGGGCCATGGGAATGCCTGCTCATCTATTTCTCAGAGTGGCCAGTATAATAACATCTTCACACCTGTGGAATGCTGTATCTGCATCTGGCTAAAGGGAGGGGTCTCTACTGCTTTAATTCTACTTGTGTGGCCTAAAGGTATTCAGACGTTGCTTTGAATATATTGCTCTCATTTCTGCTTAATAAAAGATTCCTTTCAAAATACTTTGTTTCAAGAGTCTTCACTTTCTTAAGTTAGGAGCAGAGGCAATCCTTAAAGAAAGCAATGTCTGAAAAAGGTCAACCTGGAGAAGCAATTTTCACTCTACCAAGGGGACCCGGCAAACCATGTCTGAGCAAAGCAGTGTGTAGGGAGAAGCCGAATGCGGGGGGAGACATCAACCACTACCCAGCTGGGCAGTGTACCCCATTGGAGAGGATGAGGTGACCCTGGAGGATCCCAAAAAGCCCCGCTGGTCGATTGGCATGGGGAAGAAAGACAGCTGGGATGGGAGAACCAGAGGAGTCACCCTCACCCATGGTAACCAAAAGCCGGGATGGAAATTGGAGCTAGAAGCCCCTCTCTGACCAGGAGGAACTAATTGAACCACCGCTGAGGAAGGATCATCTGGAGACATATAACCAAGTTGGGGATGGAAACTTTGGAAAATCTCAACATCTGAGGGGAGCCAAAATGGCAGCAAATGTTGTGGTTAGCCAGCAGCAGGTGTGGACGGCTGAGGAGAGCAAAGACTCAGATGAGGGGCCAGGACCATTAGGGAGTGGACTGCTGCCTTCAGAGAATGTGGGGGCTAGCAGCAGCGATGAGAAGGTTCCCAAGGAGCCTGTGTCAAGTGTGTGTGTGCATAGGGCTGTTCGTAGGAAAGAGCAGCTGCAGCAGCACGGGCGACTCGGGAATAAGGCTGCAAGGTAATGGCCCCTCCTTCAAAA